CCCCCTGATGGGCCCTGCTCTGTGCGTGACAGGGGGTGGCGCTGCAACCTCCCCATCGACCCTGCCTTGAGCGTGACAGGGGGCAGTGCCCCAATCCCCCAATCGGCCCTACCCTGAGCGTGACTGAGGGTGGCATCGCAACCTCCCGATCCGCCCTGCTCTGTGCATGACAGGGGGCGGCGCCCCAACTCCCCAATCAGCCCTGCTCTGAGCCCGACCAGGGGCTGCACCTAGGGATTGGGCGTGCCCTCTGCCACCCAGGAGCAGGCCTAAGCCAGCAGGTCGTTATCTCCTGAGGGGTCCCAGACTGCGAGAGGGCACAGGCCGGGCTGAGGGCCCTCCCTCCCCCCTAGATTGCACAAATTTTTGTGCACCGGGCCTCTAGTAAAAACATAATGTGCTAATTAGACTGGGCGACCTTCCCGACGAAGCCCAGGTCCCGGGTGCCTGCCAGCGGCCGGAAGGAAGCTCGGGTCCAGGGTGCCACAGGGAAGCCGGTGCAGGCAGCCAGGGGAAGGAAGGCCTACTCTTGCATGAATTTTGTGCATCAGGTCTCTAGTATACTTATATATGCAAATAAAGAGGTGAGATTTTAAACAAGTTTAGATAAGAATCTTGACATTGTAGTGGGCGAATATCAGTTCTTTGGAAAAATTGCTTTAAAGAGTAATGAATATATATTCGTTCAAAATATATGCATTCACTATATACCTTACTCTCTAGAGCAACTTTTCCAAAGAACTGAAATCTGTCCACTACAATGTTAATTTGAGGTTTTATTTGACATTTAAAAAATTTCTTCTTTGCTTTCTTCCAAAACACATTTCTAAGATTATGAATGAATGCGATGGATTCCTGTTGCAAACATTTGAAAAATTTTGAAAACTATGAAAGTGAAAATAAAAATTTTCCATCTTTCTACCACTTGGAAATGATGCCTGTAAATATTTAGTGTATTCCCTTTCAGTATTTTTTAATGTGTTAATTACAGGCATCAAATAATATTGCAAAGAATGAGCATTCCTACTTTGTTTTTTATTTTAATGAGGCATCCTCCAGTTTTTGTTATTATATCGTCTGCCTGCTTAAACTAAGTTGAAAACATAATATAAACTTTTGTTGGTGACTCAGGATAGTCATTTTAAAGATTCGTGTTTGGAATGTACCCCTATGCAGTCATTTTTCAGGGTCTGTAAGTCAGCCTTACCCTGCTGTTTTTGTATTGTTTCTCTTTGCTTTTCCTATCTTAATGCCCCATTCTGGGGCTGCCAGAAGCCGGTCCATCCTTGCTGCTTGACACAGTTGCTGCAGGGAAGAAACATCTGCACAGCATATGTTTCAACGGACCTGGCGTATATGGCATACTGTTCTTAATATGTTTGCTCACCTTCTTGGTGCTATGTGTTTTAACCAAGGTCACCTCTCCGAGAAAGGTTGTTTCCCCAGGTAGGGATTTTCCCCTGAAGTTAGGGAGGGAATAAAACCCCTTAACTAAATGCCAGGCAGGTAGTTAATCATTTTAACTATGAACAATCATTTTTAAGCTACATAATCTTTACTCCCTGGAATGGAGATAAGAAATGCCCTAACCCTTGGAATAGAAATTGATAGGATTAAAATCAACTGGTATAAATACAGATGTAACAAGACAATAAAAAACAGAACTTGGCTGGAGATCCTGGCTAGAGATCCTGGCTAGGCTGCTGATCAACTGAACCCTGTCTCCGTGTCATTCTTTCTTCGCCGACTCCGTCCACACCTTTGGGAACCCCTGGACCTGCTGACGTTGGACCCCAACATATGGCACCTGAACAGGGAGCTTCCTGACACTGGCTGCTTCCTCCGTATTCTGTCGCTCACCTTAGCCAGGTGCTTTCATTTGTCTTCACCCAGCAGACCCCGGGATTGGCCGCTGCTCTAGCGGGAGGAGGCAGGGATTAGGAAAGGGTTTTATTCCCCTTTACCTACTGCAGTGCCCAGTAGCATCTACATGCCTCACACACTGCTTTCAATCCTCTGCCAAATGCGGGTTCCTTTTTGGTCCAGATGATTTTGTATCTGTTCTTTTGCGGATGAATAAATGCTCCCAAGGGGGCCACCGCTGTATGGAGGAGGTGAAGGTGGGGGATATACGATCACTTTTACTCCCTTTTCTGGGGCAGAAATTGTAGGTAAAGTGACATTCTCTCACAGTTTCCTTAGCTTCATCAGGAGACAAAGGACAAGCTTCTCGAACCCTTCTCACTTTCTGTCTCTCTCCTTTAGATAAATATGTAGACAGAAAAGTAGATGTAGCTAAAGGTATGGATATTAAAGGGAGTGGAGGTCAAGAAAGGAGGTAGGCAGTTGCAAAGAGACCCATGGAAAACTATTTCTGGAAGTGGAGAAATGCATGTCCCTTTTTTAGTTTAAAATGAGTAAAACCCTGTTTGCCTTCATGTGAATAAGTGACCACCAAATTTCACTGTAGGATGTGTTTTAAATATGTGGCTTGTTTGTCTGCTGGATTTGTAGGTTGGGCTTCTGGGAATTCAGATGCTGTGGACACATGATTCAGAAGAGGCTTTACATAATGCAAAAGATGACAGGAAAATCATGCAAATAACCAACCAAAAATTTTTGGATATTCTAAATGTTCTAATTAGCCAGACAACACATGACCTAAGCAAGTTTGAAAGAGTGAAATTTGAAACTCTAATTACTATCCATGTGCATCAGAGAGATATTTTTGATGACTTGGTAAAGTATCTTTTTTTCTTAATTTTAAGTAATTTAGTGTATTAGTTAATAATTTAGTGCTCTTAATAATGAAAAATTAAGTGTTATATATTCCCTAACTTATATGAACCTTTTTATCTACCTGACTCTTTTTCACAACTGGTGTGTGTGTGTGTGTGTGTGTGTGTGTGTGTGTGTGTGTGTGTATACCATGTCTACAAATATCTATATTTGGTGGTATAAACAACCATATATGTATATTCACATTTGCCATTCTGAAAGTCTGGAACCAACTGATGTGATGTGAACGAATTGTTCCATTAAACCAAATAACAGAGTCATGATACAATTTTGATGAGCTTAGTCCTGAGTTATGATGGGCTGATTGGGAAGGAATCAAGCTTCAGAGAACTCTCATGGATATTTGTCCAACTGATGGTGTCCAGCAGGGCATCATGGGCGTGGTGCGGCCCAGGTTTTGTAGGGCGGGAGTAGGAGGAGTAGTATGTGAATCACCTTTAGATAGAACTCTCAGTAACCAACAGCCTTGAGCAAGACCAAGTTCTCCTAAAGCAGTGGTTAGCTGTTGTAAGGAAGGGACCCCAGCAGATTTTGATATACCAACATTTGACTCTCTTTGTCTTTAACTAATATTGTGTGTGTGTGTGTGTGTGTGTGTGTGTGTGTGTGTTTTCATTTGATTCATTTTAAAGGCACCTCTTTTCTTTATTAGAGACACATAATTCATGCAACTTTGGACCCTTTTTAAAGAATATGATCACAGGCAATCTGTTTCAAACTTGTATCAGATAAGAAGTTCTGATCAGATAAGTTATATTATTGAAGATTGAAGGACCTGCAGTCTATTTATTCCCCTGGAATGTAGATCTCTTAAAGTGTTGTATGCCAACCAGTTGCATTGCCATCTCCGGGGAGCTTGTTAGAAAAGCAGGATCTCCAACCTCTTCCCCCTCCCTCTCCCACCACTCCCCTCTCCCCCACTCCAACTCATGTGCTGAATCAGAATCTGCATTTCAACAAGATTCCCAGGTTGTTCATATGTGTATGAACACTGTTGTAGAATTGATCTCTGGGTCAAACTAATTATCAAGCATACTTAGACCATATTTTTTTGGTCTTCTACAGATTTACTTTCACTGAATTGCAGTTTCCTTTGTACTTTGCCTTTCATTGGACTCCACCTCTAGAAACTCCTATGGAATCCATTACTGTACCTGCTATGAGCATACTATTGAGGCTGATGTCTGTATATCTCTCATTGATTCTTAAAGCTGAAGTCCCATGGAAGAGATTTCTTTTAAATTTAAATGCTGAGCAAAGCATTACTTTCCATACAGAATGGATTTTTAAAATCTATACAAATTAAAACCATGGAACTGTTTTCTTTTTGTCTTAATTACTATTGAACTCATGATCTATTTGCATCCCAACTAAAATGAGATTTCTGGGCCAGCATATTTGCATTTTATTTTTTCATGTATAATGCTTAGAATAGCCTGTTATACAGTAATAACTCAATAAAAATTTAGCTATTCTTTCTTCATCCTCTTTCATCACCTCCTCACCATCTTAACGGATTGTTGAAAGTGGGGGTCCCGGGTCAGAGAGTCGAGACCCTGGGGGAGGCACCGGTTATGTTACCCAAAAGTAGCTCTTTTAAGGTGACAAATACGAACTGTGCTTCAGGAGGGAAGCCAGAACTCTTGACTGGAAGAGAGGTAGCATCATGAACTATGAAACAATACAACAACGAAAAGCAAGCTTATAGATAGCTTGGAGACTTGATTAGACAGAGATCTGAACACTATGGTTACCAGAGGTCCATTCTTTAGTGTCAGCTGAATGACCTGGAAATGGGCCACTGGGATTCAGAGCAGTGAAGGGGGCCATTTGCCACTTTCCTACGTTGATTTCCCTCCATGAGCAGGGCTAGAGTTTCTCCAAGTTTGCCAATGGAGTCATAATGTGGTTGTGGGGGTGTTGTTCCTAAACATGCTTACCTGGTTGCTACTTCTTGCATCCCTGGTGCTGGGAGCCTGGGACTGCTTGCCCCACAGGTCTACACTGGGGACCGGGGCAGGCTGATGTGTTTGGCTGTACTGCTGGTGTAGGAAGGTGCGTGTGCACATATGAGCATCTCCTGCTTAATCCCTTCAGTGGCTTCCCATTGCCATGCGAGCAATGCCCGGCCTGTTCCTTGTGCCCTGGGAAGCCCCAACTCTTATTCCTCTGTCCAGAGTCCTGGATGCCTCAGCTGTTGTGAACTTTTTTCAGTTTCTTTTTCTGTTATTTATTTATTTATTTATTTATTTATTTATTTATTTAAATATTTTTTAATGATTTCAGAGAGGGAGGGTGAGAGAGAGAGAGAAACATCAATGATGAGAGGGAATCATGGGTCAGCTGACTCCTGCACACCCCCTACTGGGGATCGAGCCCACAACTTGGGCGTGTGCCCTGACCGGGGATTGAACCACAACTTCCTGGTTCAAAGTTTGACGCTCAACCATGAGCCACACTGTCCAGGCTCTTTCAGTTTCTTGAACTGCCAACCAGATCTTCCAGGCCTTTGCCTAAAACATTTTGCCCTCCTACACCTCCATCACCCACCCCTTTTGTTTTATTTCCCTGGCTAATTCCTACTACTTATTCAGGTGTTAGGTTTGTTTGATTTATTTATTTATTTATTTATTTATTGTTAATCCTCATCCGAGGATATTTTTCCATTGATTTTTAGGAAGAGTGGGAGAGAGAGGAAAAGACAGAGAGAAACAATGATGTGAGAGAGACACATCAATTGGTTGCCTCCCACACAAGCCCTGGCCAGGGCCCCGGGCTGGAGAGGAGCCTGCAACCAAGGTATGTGCCCTTGATCGGAATCAAACCCGGGACCCTTTGGTCCACAGGCAGGTTTGGCTCTATTCACTGAGCCAGGTGTTAGTTTTGAAGGTTTTTTTTTTTTTTCATTTGAGTACCCCTCTCAGACACCTGACACTAGGTTAGGTCCTCTTGCTAGTTATTTTCAGAAACCCTGAATTTCTTTTCATACTTTATCACAATTACTTATTTATCTGTTTGTCTTTTGTTCTTTTCTGTAAGCCTCAGATGTCTGTCTGTTTACGCAGCATGGTGTCAGGCCCAAGGAGGGACTCAATAAATATACTTTAAATGAATAAGAATCAGTTCATGAATGAGCGAATAAAAACTGCCCATATGCCGTGGTTTATGCTATTGCAATTCAGTATGCAATCTCTTTGTATTTCATGTTTTTAAGGTAAAAATGCATATCAAATCACCAACTGACTTTGAATGGCTAAAACAGAGTAGATTTTATTTTAAAGAAGATTTGGATCAGACTGTAGTGTCTATTACAGATGTTGACTTTATTTACCAAAATGAATTTCTGGGATGCACCGATCGACTTGTTATCACTCCGTTAACGGATAGGTAGGAAACTTAGCTTTTGAATTCCATTTTGTAATTAAGTAATGTGCTTAAAATTGCTTTTACATTGTATTTGAAATATTGAAAAATAAAAGCTTATCGCTGTCGTGTTAGGTCTATGCTAGCTCATCAAAGTCAGTCCAGCAATGAAATAACCCTACTTGTTACGTATACATGTACATTACGTTTTAATGAAGTAGAAACAGATGACAGAATAAAAGCAAGCTGGAATGCTGGCGATGAGTAATTAGTTACAAACTTTAGGTTGCAAGATGGAAACTTATCTTTAGGACCATAAAGGGAGTCATGAGAATTACAAAGAAGGAAGGGTCCTTGGAGAGCATCTCATTTAGCATCCTGCTTTTTCAAGTTGTGGACATTGATAGCTAAAGTGGAGTTTCTTGGCCAGCTCTGAACAATCAGTTAATGGCAGAGCCGCTCAAAGTCTTTTTTGTATATGACACTAGGCAAGAACTGGGCCTTTTTCATCTTTATCTACCCACAACAGCTCAATATATTGTGCACAGTAGACACTCAATAAATATTTGTAGAATTGACTTAAATTGAGTCACAGGACAATGAATTCTGCTATTATTTTACATAGGGCTGCCTCCAGGTAAAATGATAACATTTGAATTTGGTCGTCAGCCTCCTCTGGATTCATCCAACTTGCCTTTATATGCCCAGTGCCCCTGCCACATACATTTGTCAATATGTTTTCCCTTCCATGGATGTATACACGTGAAGCTTCATGGCTCACAAAGCTTTACTAAGTTTTACTTTCTTCCAAAACAGATGTCACTGAAACTGGGTCACAGGTCCAAGGAGAGTCATTAGATTATTCCTTACACTTATCTAAGCGAATGAAACCTTTCATAGTCAAACCATTTGCAGTGGTGTGTTGCAGTTGGCTCATGCCATCTTGTTGCGGAGTTTAGAAGTTTGTCCCGAGAAATGTTTGCAGTCACTGCCCCACTGCTAACGAATGTCAGGTGCGCCCGCCTTGTTTGGTTGCCTCTCATAGGTGAGCTGCTCACATTCTAAAGTAACAGGTCCATTCCAATGACATTGGACTTTTTGCTTGCACTTGGCTGTCTCGTGTTATCCCGTACTCACCATGCTTTGTCTGACTGACGTCTGCAGATGCTATATCACTTTAGCACAGGCTTTGGGAATGAACATGGGAGGTGCTCCAGCAGGACCTGCGGGCACTGGCAAAACAGAGACCACGAAAGACATGGGACGATGTTTGGGAAAATACGTGGTCGTGTTTAACTGCTCAGATCAAATGGATTTCAGAGGGCTCGGAAGGATTTTTAAAGGCAAGTGTCAAACACTTAAACTATTTTTCTGTGATTTTATTTTTATTGCACTTTAATTTTCTGATCTATATCTAAAGTGATGTTTTCCCACAGAACCAAAATTAGGATAAGTTGATGCATATGATAGTGCCATTTTTTATGGTCAGAAATGGCTGGACACCATCCATTTCACTGGCTCAGTATTATTGCCATGAGCTGAATGTATAGTGGTTTATGAAAATGGAACCAATTTATTACTGCCTGAAACAATGGTGGAGGAGATAAGATGAAGATTACAAAACACATGTGACTTCCCTTCCAGCATTAAATCCCATTGAAATGATTGATTTTTTTTTTTTTTAAGCATAGCCACACTGGGAAACAAGGAGGAGGGCCATCAGCAGATGGGAAATTCTGAGGAAATCCTGCAAGATAGGTAGGCGGTGGTTTCAGATAGACAAAGAGAAGAGGTTAGAGAGCACGCCTGTCTTTAGAACTCAGTGCCTGGCCTTCCTCTCTTTTCTACCTACATGCATTCTCCTTAAGTACTACCTATGCGATCAAATTTGTATCTCTAGCTTGGACTTCCTGAAATTTCAGATCTGTATAGACAACGGATATCTACTACTTGACATCTCCACTTAAATGTCTAGTAGGTCTAAACGTGTGGTCTCCCTTCCCCTCACCCACTCCATCCTCAGCCTTTCCCATCCCACGGGGTAGCCGTGTCATTCTTCCAGGTTCGCAGATGAAAAATCTGAGACTTACCCTTTACTGCTTTCTCTCATACTCAAATCCGTCCTGTCAGCAAACACTATTGCCTTCAGAACGCACCCCAAATCTGGGCACCTCTGATCCCCACTGCTGTCATCAAGCCAGTTGCCACCCTTCACCTGTACTGTGCCAATAAGCCTCCTAATTGGACTCTGTGTTTACTCTTGTCCCCTCCACTGCAGCCTCAGATCCGCGCCACAGCAACCCTTCTACATGGAAGTCAGATCACAACCCTCTTCTGCTGAGAGCTGCCCAGTGGCTTCACTCCGAGTAAAAGCCAAACCCCTCATGAGGTCCTGCATTGTCTTACAGTCACTCCTGCCCCTCCCCATTCTATCGGTCTGACCTTCTGACCCATCTCCTACTACTCTCTGCTCCCCTTGCTCTCCCTCCTGTAGCCATATTGACCTCTCTGATGTTTCTCAAACATTCAAAGCAGATTTCCTCTCAGATTCCTTACTCTGGTTCCTTAGATCCTTCCCCTAGATCAGTGATGGCGAACCTATGACAGGCATGTCAGAGGTGACATGCGAACTCATTTTTTTGGTTGATTTTTCTTTGTTAAATGGCATTGAAATATATAAAATAAATATCAAAAATAGACATCTTTGTTTTACTATGGTTGCAAATATCAAAACATTTCTATATGTGACACGGCACCAGAGTTAAGTTAGGGTTTTTCAAAATGCTGACACGCCGAGCTCAAAAGGTTCGCCATCACTGCCCTAGATATTCCCCCACATGACTCATTTGATAAAGGGTGTCCACAGCAAACATCATAACCTGAACATTTGAAAGCATTCTTTTTGAGATGAGGTATAAGACAAGGACACCTGTTATTATTTGTTCTAGTCATCACTATACTTCAGATCCTGCAGAAAGGAACAACAACAAAAATACAAAGATTGGAAAGAAAGAAATGCAAAATTTCATTATTCACAAAGGGTAGGGTACACTTTTAAAAAATTCAACAAAATCTATAGAAAAATAGAATTTAGCAAATTTCCTAGACTATAAAATCAACACAAAATAAATTTTATTTTTATAACCACAAAAAACAGTTAGAAAACGAAAACTTCAGAAAGATATCATTTAGAATGTAATTTCGAGAGTGTGGTATTGATGCAGGATTGATGACTGGACCAATGGAATGTAATAGAAAATGAAAAAATAGGCCAAGGACACTTGACAGGTGGCACAGGTATTACCGTAAATCAGTGATGGAGAGACAGACTTTACAATAAATTGTTCTGGGACAGCAGTTGATCAATATTTAACAAAGGAGATTGGGTCCCTACATATATAAAAATTGGATGCCTAAACCATACACTGTATAAAACTCAGTTCTGGGAATTAAATGTCTAATTGTGGGAGGCAAAATTGTTTGGGTTTTGAGAAGGTAATAAAGGAAAATATCTTTCTTTTTAGAGTAGAAAGGGATTTTTAATACAAGAATCACAAACCATAAAGAAAAGATTGACACACTCCCTACCCTGGTTTAAAAACATCTCTTCATCAGTGAGTATCAAAAAAAGAGAGAGAAAAGCCATGCCTGAAATTTGGAAACGGCATTAGCAATATATATTACCTACAAAGGATTAGTATCCCCCATACATGAGTAATGCCTATGACTCATTGAGAAAGAGATAATTCAATAGAAAAATGAGGAAAAGTCTGAAATAGGTATTACACAAGTGGAGAAAACCAAATGACCAGCAAAGAATTGCACACTATAAAAGGATTCCATTTTGTACACAGCAGGTTAAGAACAATTTAAGTGTGACTTTTTAAAAAAAACATATTTTTGATTTCAGAGAGGAAGGGAGAGGTAGAGAGAGACAGAAACATTAACGATGAGAGAGAATCATTGATTGGCTGCCTCTTGCATGCCCTGTACTGGGGATTGAGCCTGCAACCCGGGCATGTGCCCTTGACCGGTATCAAACCCAGAAACCTTCAGTCTGCAGGCTGATGCTCTATCCACTGAGCCAAACCAGCTAGGGCCGTGGTCGGCAAACTGCGGCTCGCGAGCCACATGCGGCTCTTTGGCCCCTTGAGTGTGGCTCTTCCTAAGCCTTAGGAGTACCCTAATTAAGTTAATAACAATGTACCTACCTATATAGTTTAAGTTTAAAAAATTTGGCTCTCAAAAGAAATTTCAATCGTTGTACTGTTGATATTTGGCTCTGTTGACTAATGAGTTTGCCGACCACTGAGCTAGGGCAGTGTGACTTTTTTTTTAATTTTTTTTTCCTTCACTACCATTGGCAAGGTGTCAAGCAGCAGAAACAGCCACCCACTCCTTCCTGGTGGCAGTGTAAACCTTTTTTAGAATAAAAAAGCTTACACGTGTATTGTCAGTCTCCCACCTTCTGGTCTCAGCTCAGGTGAACTGCACTTAAGTACTGGGAGCCTGTGTGCAAATGCTCACGGCAGCATTGCTTGTAACAGCCAACACCTGGCAATAACTCGAGTGTCCTCTATGGTGGGCTGGACACATAAATACACAGGTTGTGGATATCCGATTTATATATCATATGCATAACAATGCTGTGTAGCGGTAAAAATGAGTAACTACAGCACGATGCATTGATGTAGCGCAGTCTCACAGTTTAGAGGGAAAGTAGCAAGTCTCACAAAAACACAGATAGCATGATTGCATTTATTTAAACCAAAGATATGTATTACATAGATATGTATATAGATAGTAAAAAGAGCCCGGCCAGTGTGGCTCAGTGGTTGAGCATTGACCCATGCACTAGGTCTAGGAGGTCGCTGGTTCAATTCCTGGTGAGGACACATGCCTGGGTTGCAGGCTCCATCCCCAGTAGGGTGTGTGCAGGAGGCAGCTGATCAATGATTCTCTCATCGATGTTTCTTTCTCTCTCTCTCCCTCTCCCCTCCCCTCTCTCTAAAATCAACACAAACATATTTTTTAAAAAGCATAAGAATGCTTATGTCTCCTCTGGGAGGGAAGAAGGGTGACACCATTGGGAAGAAGTACACTGGGCCTTCCCTGTATTGAACATTATGCGTTCATTCATCTAGCCCTTCCTTTCGGTGGGATGTGAGTAACATCTCCATAACAGATAGCATGAGATTGCACCCCAGCTGTTACCTACAAGAACAGATAGCATGAGATTGCACACCCAGCTGTTACCTACAAGAACAGATAGCATGAGATTGCACCCCAGCTGTTACCTACAAGAACAGATAGCATGAGATTGCACCCCAGCTGTTACCTACAAGAACAGCATGAGATTGCACACCCAGCTCTTACCTGCAAGAACAGATAGCATGAGATTACACCCCCAGCTCAGGAGGATATGTACAGCATTTTATAGCTAGCTAGCTAGATAAATAGACACACATATAAACTTTGAGCGTGTGAAATATATACTGTTCATGAATACATGCAGAAGAGCAATAGCTTAAAAGCATGCATAGGAACCATTGGTATCAAATTCAGGGGAGAAGTTACCTCTGGAGAAGGAGGGAGTGTGGCTTCAAGAGGGATATACCTGGACTTGAAAAGTACTTTTGACATGATTCTAAAGAATAAAATCTGAAACAAATTGTTAGGATTTGATAGGTGGGTACATGGGTATTCATTATATTATTCTGTTTAGTCGCCTGTCTGTCAAACATTTTTGAGCCCTGAGAATAATTTTCTAATCAAAGAGAAGGGTTCTGTGGATCACTCCCAGCTTGAGGGTCGGGGGTGGTTGGGAGAAGCAGACTAGAGTGCAAGGTAAACCCCACGATACCAAAATGAGAGCAGAAAGCAAAGAAAAAGTGTGTTTCCTCCACACAAAAGCTGTAGCACAGCTGTCTGAGGTGGGAATGCTGACAAAGACCAACCCCAGAGGCGGGCTCCTGCCAGAGGGGCAAGCAGTGCACCAGGCCAGACAGACTGCTGGCCCCAGCCCTGGAGAGCAACCCTCTGAGGCTCCATCCCTTCCCTCAAATCACCAGAGGCAGGTGAAAGGACAGAACAGGACTGATAGCTGTGTTCCTAACTCCTCTTCCAGCAAAAGCCATAGAATGTATCAGTTACTCAGCCTGCCCTTATCTCAGCCAATGGGAAAGCAAGGGAAACTAGCCCAAGGCCAAAAGTATGCTAGCCACCCCCCCTGTCTTTGTGTAACCAGACCCTAGCTGCACCCTGCCCTTGCGTCATTAGCCCC